CTTTATCACAATCTTATGAGACTAATTCTAAGAGTATAAGATCAGCATTACAAGTTAATGTATCCAAATTAGCATGTAATCTTAAAAACTATGAAGATTCTTTACAATCAGAGTTATGTGATATAGAGGAACTTAAATCCAATCAGCATGATGAAGTTATTGTCAAGTTAGATAAAAATATAATTGTGAAATAGAAGTTAAAGTAACAGTTATCATCACTTGCATATACATCTATGTTAAATAAAACTTCAGAAGAATAAGGTCCACTTTTAAATACTGCATAAAATATAGTTTGCATATTCAGGAAAGCTAATAAGCTTAGTCAAGAAGCAATTTTGTACTGATACTACTTTATAGAAAAATATGATAAAAGAATTAATAATATTGTTGCTGATAAAGTTAAGAAAAAAATTGCAACATCTATGACAGTATTGTTATGAAACATTAATAGGACACTGATGAGATATATAGGACATATGAGACATAGTATAGGATAGATTGGAACATATAACTAGAACAACAAATCTCTGAGACATCAAAAATGAATATTACTAATCTATAGTATATCAAGAAATAAAACAGCTTTTACCTGATATAATAAATGTGAATTTGTGTCAAAAAATCCTTAGAGCTAGAAAATTATATAAATTATTCAATACATTAGGACTAGAGAAAATTAAACAGGTCTCTTATAGCATAAATGCTATTTTGAGTCTCAATTATTCACAAATACAAAATATTATAGATAAATAGAAGATAACTTATTAGATTTGACTAATTAAGAGCTAATCTTTTACTTGATATACATATATTTATTATGAAATGTTTTTCGCAAGTATAATAATTTAAATTTTTTTCAAGGATTGGATTGCATTTTACAATAACTTTATAAGAGAGGATCACGCTCGTGTAAATATGCAAGTAGGCTTCTTCTAGTCTAAAAATCTATGATAAAGAATAATAAATAATTTTGTCAATTAGATAAGGATTATAAGTACTATAAGTCAATTCAACAATCTGATCAGAAGTTTAACAAAAAATTTTAACAATTATCATATAACTTCAGAAAAATGAGGTCAATAAGAAATAAAAAAAGTTTCAATTCGATTAAAAAAGGTGAGATCATTACAATCTAATGAAATGTAAAATCATAATTTATTTATGAACATTGATTTCAAATCTCAGAAGATGCTTTCTAGTAAAAGTTTACCAGATATTTGTAACTACAGAAGGTAATCACAGGTACTCAAATAATAAGTATTTTTTGTTTATTTGCTTTGTTTATATTGTCAACGGAAGAAATTGCAACTCCAAATATCACGTGGGATCTGTCGATCAATAATGATCTCACAGTAGATGATGTCACGGCT